GCATGCAAGTCCTACTTAATGCATCAATCAATGAAAATAGCATCATATAAAATGAAGATCAATGATCGCAGGGGAATGAGGAGCTCCTTCCATGCATGGTGACTTACATATTTGTAAGACTATTTTTTTATTTGACGCCCTATGCACCTGGATGGAGGTAGTACTCGCTTTTTGCGTTGAGTCAACTGCCTATAGTACTTGGCTCTTGCATGCACGTGACCTTAAAGAGGTGGATTCGACTGGGTGGCCAAACGACCCTTTAAACCCGGACGGAGGTAGTAGTATCTGGATTATGCAATGACATTGATCGGAAGAGCTTTTTCTTGAATTGCGTTTTCTCACTGATTATATTGTTATTTACCTTCACTTTTTCTTCAAGGGTCTTTGGATTGCTGAAGGTGTATTTCAGTGAAGACCCCAACAAAAATTCTACATAGTATTTTATTCAAACAAAGCCCTTTCCAAAAAAAAATCTTCACAATTTGGTCCTAGGCGGGGGCGATAGCCCCCTACCTCCACACAGCTTTGTCAATGACGGTTAGCTTGTTTATTGCGATAGGTTTAAATGCTTGGGAATGGTAAGCCTATGCATGTGTTGCATATCGGATACTAAGCTCCTTGGAAAAGGGAAGCTCTGGTGCATCAGGGCTATATTTAGCATTCGTGGCCCCATATGGGTGGATGCTTGGTGGTTGGAGTGCACTCCCAAGGACGTGGCAGCTGCCTGGTAATTTTTTTGCGGGAAAACTCCCAATCTATTCATCTTCAATCATGGCAGTACAACGAATACCAGAAATAAAAATTACATCCAGACTCGTAGACCACCTAGCGACGACTACAAGCACCGAAGCGAGCCGAAGGCGCGCCGCCGTCATCGCCCCTCCATCGCCGGAGCCGGGCACAACTTGTTGTAGTAGACAGTCGGGAAGTCGTCGTGCTAAGGCCCCATAGGACCAGCATCCCAGAACAGCAACCGTCGCCGAAGAAAAATAACGTAGATCGGAAGGATCCAAACCGAAGACACACGAACGTAGACGAACAACGACGAGATCCGAGCAAATCCACCAAAGATAGATCTGCCGGAGACACACCTCCACACGCCCACCAATGATGCTAGATGCACCGTCGGAACGGAGGCTAGGCGGGGAGACCTTTATTCCATCTTCAGGGAGCCGCCGCCGTCTCGCCTTCCTGAATAGGACACAAACCCTAACAAGATTGAAAAAAACGACTAAAAACGGAGCCCTCCCGCCGGCCCCTGCCAGGATCCACCACGCCTCCATGGCCCTAGGGCCACCGGAGACGAGGCGGACTTGCGCCGGCGCCGGCGAGAGGCACGAACTCTAACTTTCTTTTTGGAGAAGGAGGAGGAGGAGGAGGAGGAGGAACCCTATCCGGTTTGCGTGTGAGAGGGCACCGTAGTTTTCTAGATTAATAATAGCTGCCTGGTAATTTTTGCCTTAAGTATTGACTGTTACCAAAAAAAATCACTCCATGCTGCTAACAACCAGGTCCTGGGGATATCAATTTAATTCCACCGTATGGATAATGTTTCAAGTGCTCATAAGCAAAGTTTGTGAACTCTATTTCTTATCTGCCCTTAATTCTTGTCCCCTTCGTTTCAAAATATTCGATGTTTTAGGATTTTATAAGTCAATCATTTCTAAGTTTAACAAAAGAGGAGGTAGCCTGATGCATGTAGCTCCCAATTGCGCAGGGTCCGGTGAAGTGTCCGACCACTTTGGGTCTATTGTACGCAACCTTTTCCTGCATTTTTAAGTTTAACTAAGTTTGTATAAAATCTGAAAAATATACAATCTAAACATGTATAATACTATGAAAATATATTTATAAGAAATCTAATGAAGTGAATTTTACTTTGTAGATGTTAAATATTTTTATATGGGCCACTCAATCTTAATAAAAAAAATACATAGAACAATCCTAAAATTTTGATTATTTTGAAAATGAGTATGTTATATTGTTCTCATCGGAACACCTGATCTCCCTATGGTTCTTTTGTTTCCTATTTTATTAAAATTACTTGATATCTTTCCTATTCCTAGGATTGTAGGATTTTTATATATTTCCCTTTTTTTGTCCAAACAGCGCCTTAAAACCCAACCCAACACACAACAAAACAACTGATCGTAATAACGCGAAAAAAGCTTAACCCACAATAAAACAACTGACTCTAATAATCTAAAAAATGCTGAACTTACAACTAAAAGTGAAAAACGGCGCAGCAAAGCGCGCGTCACCAGCTAGTCACATTGAAGGCCTTGATTAAAGATTAACCCTGGTGCAAGCAAGTGATATTCTGACGATGAACACAACATCTTTTGCAGGTTGTTTTGCTAAATGATTGAAGCGCGGGTCCAACATGCCCTTGAGTAAATCATCATCTTGTGATTAAGAAATCCTTGGCAAAGAGGTTAGAAACTCACGGATCATGACTTCCAATGCAACAACAATGTGTAAGCATTACACTTCTCTGTTACCCTCATTGTGTGTGCAAATTCTGCAAGGAAACAACTAGAATTGTGACTCTGCTAGAGTGGTCTTTCGGCCAAAATCAACCTATTGGCAGTTATTATGCTGATCGGGCCGATATGATGACTCTGATAGGGTTGGTCCGTCGCAGGCGAGAACTGATAAATTTCGAAAAACCACTTAATGAGAAGAAATTTGTTGTGTTTTGACGTAGAGCTCTCGAATGCCTAAAAACTACTACCTTGATTTTCTGGGAGTGCATACAATTCCCCATTATTCTAGCCTCGCATGTGGTTATCACATGGCGTAAACAACATTCTGTTGTTTTTTGGTAGCTGCCAAATATATCCAGGCTAGTTTGACCGTCCGTCGACGGGCCTATTCTTAGAACAGCCTCCACAAACAGCAAGTGGCCGGCTAAAGAATATGAGGCTTAAAAGTTGCTCGACCTCTGGAAACAAACACGCACTTAAGCTTCCACAGCCCCCCCTGCTTCCAACAAATATGCAGCTCATTCCGTCGAGCCATCTCCTGTAGCTCGCCTCACCTCTTCTCCCTTGTGCTGCTTGAACCGGCCGGCATGTCGCGGCTCTCGATGGCGATGCTGCTCCTAGTCTCCCTTGTGCTGGCGACGGGCCCGCGCCTCGCCGTCGTGGAGGCGGTCGTCGTGGAAGGCCTGACGGTGGGGTTCTACAACAAGACGTGCCCGGAGGCGGAGCAGGTGGTCCGCGACGTGGTGATGAACGACTACGGCATGGACCACACCATCGCCCCGGGCCTCATCCGCATCTTCTTCCACGACTGCTTCATCACGGTATGTATGTATGTATGTATGTATGATCGGTGATCACCACGAGCCATGCCAGCCAATGCAGAATGTTTCTTAATGTGTGTGTAGGGGTGCGACTCGTCCATCCTGCTGGACGAGTCTCCGTCGGGCGAGGTCCCGGAGAAGGAGTCGTCGGCGAACGGGTTCACCCTGCACGGCCTGCAGACCATCGACGTGGCCAAGGCGAGCATCGAGGCCATGTGCCCGCGCACGGTGTCGTGCTCCGACATCCTGTCGTTCGCGGCGCGCGACGCGGCGGTGGCGGCGGGGCTCCCGAGCTACGAGGTGCCGGCCGGGCGGCGCGACGGCACGCACTCCCGGATGGCCGACCTGCCGGGCAACTTCCCGGTCCCCGGGCACACGGTGCCGCGGCTGACGGAGCTGTTCGCGAGCCGGGGCCTGTCGCAGGAGGACCTGGTGACGCTCTCCGGCGCGCACTCCATCGGGGGCGCGCACTGCTTCATGTTCTCCAACCGCATCTACGGCTTCTCCAAGACGGCGGACATCGACCCGTCGCTGGACCCGGCGTTCGCGCAGCGGCTGCGGAAGATGTGCCCGCGGCCCAAGCCGGACGACAACCCGCAGCAGGCGCCCAAGGTGAACTTCGACGAGCGCACCGGGGAGAAGCTGGACAACGCCTACTACCAGGAGCTGCTGGCGCGGCGGGGCCTGCTGACCTCGGACAACACGCTGGCCCTGGACCCGCAGACGAGGCCGCTGGTGGAGCAGTACGCCAAGGACGACGCGCTGTTCCAGCAGAGGTTCGGGGAGGCGATGCAGAAGGTGAGCAAGCTGGACGTGATCATCAAGAAGAACAAGGGGCAGATCAGGCGGGACTGCCGGATGGTGAACAAGGCCAAGGGGGTACGCTGGATGCCCATCCACTTTCTCAAGCCCCCCAAGCACCCCATGCTCCAGATGATCAACTGGTTCATCCGGGGCTTCCAGCAGAACTAATAAGTTGCCTTTGCCATCCACATCCATCCATCTCCTCTCGGCTCTCCTACTCCTATTCCTAGACGGACCAGCCTGCTGCTCTACCTCTATATATACCCACTCCGGCGCAGCTGTCAAGTTTAAGTTTGCATTGGTCGCCATTTTATTGTTATTACTGTCTTCGGTCTAATGATGAATATGGCTTGAGCCAATCATGTACTCATATATGTCATGCTTGTGCCGTTTGTACGGTTGTTACTACTTATCAGCTTGGAATAAATGTGAAACCGAATAAACCATCCCTTGGTACAGATAACAAGTATTGTGTGACTTGTTCTTCAACTAGTACTTCTACCGTTTTATCCATACTACAGTACAATGCTAGTGTTATCAATGACCCTTGATCCTAGTATATCATTATGCAGGGCCACTTATACATATATTTATAAACCAACACATGTACTACATGATTTGCCATTTTCGTACCATCTGTTCTCACGCAGCAGCATAGGCATAACACAACACACCAATGTACATACTATAACACAATGATGCACAATATATAAACCCCGCTAAGTTCCTATCCATGCGTACGTGACTACTTTGCTAGGATTAGAATTTAGAAGCAACAATTCAGGAACCACCGAGTGAACTACCACCACATTCTGCATTTCAATTTCCAGCGGAGCAGGGAAACACAGAGGCTTCACACGGCAATGAGGAGCTTTGCCTATATATATATCTAGGAGTAGACTGACAAGTCCACACCCAGTTCATCAATGACTCTCTCAAGCTTGGACAGCATATCTACAAAAGGGAAAGCACAAAATCAATACAACACAGGGCGGTGAAGCGAGGATTCTATGCAGGATTCTATGTAGTGGTGATGATAATGCTGAGAAAAATGATTTTATTATATCCCTTTTGTTTATCTTATTACTTTACTAGCGCTGCAAGAAGGTGGGGTAGAAAGCGTACCATGGAATGACTCATCAGCCATATATGTCTGCAAAAGTAAAACAATAAACATAAGATAACTCTATGTTGAATTAAGAGGGAAAAACTAGCGGAGCAACTTGGAGATTCTCGATGAGAAAAAAATACCTTTATCCTTGCCATAATATCACTTGTTGATTTACTAGTATCAATTTCTTTTGTTGACTTGCTAGTATCAGTTTCTTTATCAGCAGTATTTTCATTACTGGCAACTGCCATTGAAGGAAATACTGTATACATGTCAGAAAAAATGGAAACGTCAAGACACATAAGCGCCAAATGAAGCTGAATTTTTTTGTACCATCATGACAAGTATCTTGTGTGAACACCTGCAAAAATTACAAATATAAAGAACATTACTTATGTAGATTTTTTTTTGCAGTATTTAAAAAGACGAGACTAGAGGGGCCAGAATCGCTTGGCTTATTGTTATAGGACGGTCAGTTGAACATAACATTTGCAGTATTTAGCATACATTACCTCTTGAGGACGGTCAGTTCCACTCAGTTGATGCAGGTCCTCCGCATCTGATCCGCCATATATTATCTCTTGAGGATGGTCAGTTTGATGCAGGTCCTCCGCATCTGATCCGCCATACAATACATCTTGAGGATGGTCAGTTCCACCCAGTTGATGCAGGTCCACCGCATCTGATCCGTACATGCACAATGCTTTCATGCATAAACCAAGAAAAAACAAAATAAATAAAATGTGCTTTAAGTATAACCTAATCAAACAGGAATTCACTAACCATATTCAGTCTCAGATGACAAATTTGTCAGCATTTCAGTGAAACTAAGAGGGAAACCAGAGTTGATATTGTCAATGTTGGAAGTAAGGAGAGGTTCAGAAACAGGCAGGTCTGGTTCCTCATGGTAGCATAATGCTGGTGCCTCTGTCCTGTGATCTGAAGCTGGCTCCTCAAAGCTTGAAGCATCATCAGGCCCATGCATTATAGTATTATGTTATCACAGAGATTATGTCGTGCAGCATATAAATGCAAAACAGCTCTAGCGTTTCACCTGTGGGGAAGTTCATTGGAAGCAATGTATTCTGATCGTGATGATGAATCTTCACATATGTAGTCGCATCCAGATGATGCAATATCCATGGTGTCACCTAAGCATTCCTTTTAACCGACAACAGAAATTAATTTAGTGCTTGACAAAGCTCACGAAGCAAAACTGAAACTAGTGAAGATCTTCCTTTCTCTGTATACCAAAATAAATTTTATAACTAGCATGAATGGTCAATTCACAACTGCAGTAGTGGTGTAGCACCCCTGCAATTTAAGTTGTGCAGAAATGCTATAAGTGATAACTATCACCACCGCAATTTTTTGTTTTCAAAAAAGGTAATCTGGGCACAGGAGCAAATATAGTGAAGTTAAACTGAGCTGGAGTGCCAAAAGCACCTACATGGTTCCATCCAGCACTGTAACAATATGTAGCCATGTGCGCATATTACATTAGGGATGTACATTCAACATTAGTGAAGAATGGATACACCCATCAAATATTGGTTGTACATAACTCAGAAAAGGTAGCACAAATTCGGTAAATACTAAGGAATTTTTCGAAAGATTGCTTGTCCACACATAATTATATGTACTGTTGATCTACAACTGCCTGCTGTCCTTTGCATAAGACTAACTTTATTTGGTAGTTGGCATAAATTGATATTACATTTTTATTTCTCTGTACAAGCTCACACAAAGAATAGGCAACTACGCTTAAAAGATGTCATAATGATATCTCCAACTTTCCATTCTGAATACAAGTATACAGCATGTGTAATACTGTATTACAAGTGACCATGGAAAGGAGCCGGTAAGAAAAGATGGCATAAGAAGTCCCAAGACTCCACATAACGTCACAGCTTCACATGGTTAGGATATCAGAAAGAGAGGAAATTCCACCTTCACACAATTTAAGAACGACTCCACATCACTGAGCTGTGGGAAACGTAGAGCAAACTTCTGTATCTGCAGCGAGAGTAACTGATGTGATCATGACTATACACATATTTTTGTTATTAAGAATGCGAAAACGCCATGTGCATAAACATCATATGAACACAACCTCCATCTGTTCTGAATACTTTCAAATCTGGACTCAACTAAGCCAGTCAGCAGAATCACATTTGAGTTATACAAAACTTGCCTGCTTGGATTTATCACAAAAGCTCACAAAGAGCACCCTGCTCCCACTTCCTGGGCATTGTCCCCCACATGTGAGCTGAGGCCATGAGAAGTTGAGGATAGACACAAAGTGCTCCTCCTGTGCCACAAGCAAAGGCGACAATGCTAGCTAGCTAAGTGAAGAAAAGGGGGTATCCAGCAAAACAATGTTAGAACAGAGACTTCGCAAACTTGTGTAACTTCTGTAGAATAATAAACATAACAATAAACGTGCAATTTAGAAGAAATTGTTGAAGAACTAGGATCCCCACCCTAGCTACAAAACGAAAGCATTTTTCACAAAACTTTGCAGGTTCTCAAGGTTATCCCACATATACACGCGGGACTTTTTTTCAGAATTATTTACAGCACCCACTGAGATAAAAAGATCATCAAGTTAATTTTCTCTGCCTAAAGGCCATGAAAGCATGGCATAGCCTGAAGCATATGCATATTATAACTATTACAGTAAATACCTAAAGACCAATAGTGCACACAGGACAGAATGCCCGAAAAATTGGTACAAAACGATGGTATGGCAGGACTCAATATAGAAATCTGACCAAAGAACAAATATGTTTATGCAGAACAATTCAAATGATCCACAAACTTACTATAAATAACAACATCATGAACACACAGAAACATCAATATCCCTGACGCCTCATCTCATGTCTGAACACTAACACAGCATTCACCATTTCTTTTCTCAGGCACGATTTGCAGATTAGAGAGGTACAGTACGTGCATGGGAAAAAAAAATAGAGAATACTAGGATGATAACGAGCCTTGTTTTTACACTTGTTGATTGCATGGAAACATGAATGGATTCCACCTACACAGTGGAGTACAATACACAAATATCAGGGCATCAGGTCTCCTCATTAAAAAAGGGGGAGGGGGGCGGGCATCAGGTCCTCTTTCAAAATCCACACCATCACAATCTGCGTGTAGTATCATATCCCAACACATCCTCACAAGTTCATGAAGCAAATGAATTCAGAGCACATGTAACACCAGCAGACTCGTCAAAACCACAGCCAACCCGATCCCCAAATTCCTTCACAAACAAGTGCGCACAACGAATCGAATTCACCAAACACATAACACCAAGCAGCCACGCAGATAAGAAGAGGGGAAGGGAAGGGAGACGGTACGGACGAAGACGACACCGATGACGGAGACGGTGAGGACTGGGGCCGCGGAGGGGTGGCTGGAGCGGGAGACGCGAAGAGCGGCAGGCGTGGCGGCGGGGAGCCAGGCGCCGGGATGGCAATCCGTGGCGCTGGTGACGTAACGGACGCCGGGCGGCGGCGGCGTCGTCGTCGTCGTCGAGGTGTCGCGCAGGGGGGAAGCGAAGTAGCGGGCGAACTCCACCTCCCATTCCTGCCTCCGCCCCAGGCCCTCCGCGGCGTCAGAGCGCGAGGTGAGCCGCGCCCAGCCGTCGTCGCCGACGCCCACCGCCACCATGGCGCGACGCCGATGCCGAGGTAGTATTTCCGTATCTGCCGTTTTGCTTTGGGGTTTTGTAGCGCCTTTCGGTGCGCAATGGTGTGAGTGAATGTAGCAGCTGCTATGCCTCGTAACGGCTGGCTCATGAAAGAAAGAGAAAAGTAAAGGGAACGGCTATGGAAGAATTGCCTGAATTCAGAATTTGGTTCAGTGAGTTTTGATTCGCCGTTGATTGTGATCCAACGGACAGATAACATTCATGTATAATTGAAATCGACTGACCCCCATTCAATTTCAGTTGATTTTTCTTAAAATAGTCCAACTCAGCCTAGCCATACAAACATGATAGAAGTCCACCCATCAAAACACTACTTGGGTAATTCTCAAAAAAAAAAAACACTACTTGGGTTTTGATCCTAAAAAAAAACACTACTTGGGTTGGACAAAAACACATGCTCGTTAACCCGATAGCAACCACAAAAAGGCTAACCTTCTGTCGAGGTACAACAATCTATGAGACCGACAACGGCCCCTATGCGGTTCGACTGTGGATCGACGAACATAAAGAGCAGAATGAACAATCAACACAAGGGATTTACCCAAGTTCGGGTCACCGTGAGGTGTAAGACCATACTTCTATTTTGGTGGATTGATTGTATATGAGCTAAGTTACAGAGGAGCGTATCCAGTTGGATATGAGTGATCATGAGTTATTGTTGTTGACATCACCCTTGAGATGAATAAGTTGGGAGGCGAAATTATGTGTGTGTTTGGTTTGTGTCCAAGGTTGCCCCACCAAAGTATTGGCTAGCCAAAATTTTGGTTGCCCATGATTTGGCCAACATTGGCAAGAAAAATGAACTAGAGTTGGCTATAGTTCATTGGCATGCCAAAAAATTGGCAACCATCCAAACAAAGACCAATCTTTGGGTCATGACCAAAATTTTGTTAAGGTGTACTTTGGCCACAATTCAAACACACCCATATAAGCCCCTATCTTTGTATGTGTCTGGCTGAAACTTTTTGCTCCATATATATGTTGTGAGTGTTAGCAATTATAGAAAACTAAATGATGGTTGAGTATGTGAACTTGCTAAAAAAGCTCCGACATGAGAACCTCCCTGAAAATATGATGAATTGTAATTGCATTGTTGACTGAGAACATAGTATGTTAGTTTTCAAGAAAGTTTATGCCTTATACTTCGTTGTTGTGATGAATACTTGCTCATGAGAAGTTTTATGATAATAAATGTTGCTGCTATAATAATTATCATGATGCTACTATGTTCATATTTTGTTTTTATCGACACCTCTCTCTCTCCAAACGTGTGGTCATGATTTTCGATATCGGCTTTTGCTTGGGAGTAAAGAAGGTCTAAGCTTGGGGGAGTTGATACATCCATTTTGCATCATGTTTTCCTACTATTACTTATAGATTTTTTTATCAATATAATACTTTGTGGAGTAATTCTAATGTCTTTTCTCCCATAATATGCAAGGTTTAACGAACAGGGAGATTGCCGGCAGCTAGAATTCTGAACCTGAAAAAGCTATGTCAGAGATACCTATTCTACACATCTCCAAATGAGTTGAAATTTTACGGAGATTTACTTTGGAATAAATAAAAAAAATACTGGAGCAAAGAAGTACCAGGGGGCCACCCAGGTGCCCACAAGGCACCAGGGCGCGCCTCCCCCCAGGCACGCCCTGGTGGCTTGTGGAGCCACTGGCCAACCTTCGGTGCCCATCTTCTGGTATATAAGCGCATTTGACGTAGAAAAAAAATAAGGAGAGGACTTCCGAGATGGAGCGCCACTGTCTCGAGGTGAAACTTGGGCAAGAGCACTTTTGCTCTCCAGCGGAGCGATTCCGCCGGGGATACTTCCCTCCAGGAGGGGGAAATCGAAGCCATCATCATCACCAACAACCCTCTCATTGTGGGAGGATCAATCTTCATCAACATCTTCACTAGCATCATCTCATCTCAAACTCTAGTTCATCTCTTGTATTCAATCTTTATATCAAAACCTCATATTGGTACCTGTGGGTTGCTACTAGTGTTGTTTACATCTTGTAGTTGATGCTAGTTGGTTTATTTGGTGGAAGATCATATGTTCAGATATATTATGCTATTCAGTATCCCTCTGATCTTGAGCATGAATATGTTGTGTGAGTAGTTACTTTTGTTCTTGAGGACATGGGAGAGGTCTTGTCATAAGTAATCATGTGAATTTGGTATTCGTTTGATATTTTTAATGATATGTATGTTGTTGATTCCCTTAGTGGTGTTATGTGAACGTCGACTACATGACACTTCACCATGTTTGGGCCTAAGGGAATGCATTGTGGAGTAGTAATTAGATGATGGGTTGCTAGAGTGACAGAAGCTTAAACCCTTTTTCATGCGCTATTCCGTAAGGGACTGATTTGGATCCATATGTTTAATGTTGTGGTTAGATTTATCTCAATTCTTCTTTCGTAGTTGCGGATGCTTGTGAGAGGGGTTAATCATAAATGGGAAGCTTGTTCAAGTAAGAACAACACCCAAGCACCGATCCAGCCACATATCAAATTATCAAAGTAGCGAACGCGAATCAAACAAATATGATGAAAGTGACTAGATGAAATTCCCTTGTGTCCTCAAGAACGCTTAGTTTATTATAAGAGATTGTTCCGGCCTATCCTTTGCTAGAAAAAGGGTTGGGCTACCTTGCTGCACCTTTGTTACCATTACTATTATTTGCTCATTACAAATTACCTTGCTATCAAACTATCTATTACCGATAATTCCAGTACTTATACACAATACCTTGCTGAAAACCGCTTGTCATTTCCTTCTGCTCCTCATTGGGTTCGACACTCTTACTTATCAAAAGGACTATGATAGATCCCCTATACTTGTGGGTCATCACTTGCCAGACTCTACATTGCAATCGACCTTGGTATCAGAAAGTTGATCATCAGAGGCGACTTGCAGTTGGTGGTGAAGCAAGTGAAGAACAGCTACCAAAGCCCGTTGATGGAGGCATATGTGGATGAAGTGAGGAAATTGGAAGCACACTTTGACGATCTGTAGGCCGAGCATGTTCTGTGTGCCGAGAACAACATTGTCGATGACGTGTCGAAGCGTGCCACTGCTACGTCTTGAGCTTGCGTTGGTTTTCCTTGAATAGGAAAGGGTGATGCAACAATAGTAGCGTAAGTATTTTCCTCAGTTTTTGAGAACCAAGGTATCAATCCAGTAGGAGGCTCCTCAAAAGTCCCACGCACCTACACAAACAAACAAGAACTCGCAACCAACGCAATAAAGGGGTTGTCAATCCCTTCAAGGCCACTTGCGAAAGTGAGATCTGATAGAGATAATATGATAAGATAAATATTTTTGGTATTTTTATGATATAGATTAGAAAAGTAAAGATGCAAATAAAAGTAGATTGAAAGCTTATATGATAATAGATAGACCCGGGGGCCATAGGTTTCACTAGTGGCTTCTCTCAAGATAGCATAAGTATTACGGTGGGTGAACAAATTACTGTCGAGCAATTGATAGAAGAGCGAATAATTATGAGATTATCTAGGCATGATCATGTATATAGGCATCACGTCTGTGACAAGTAGACCGACTCCTGCCTGCATCTACTACTATTACTCCACACATCGACCGCTATCCAGCATGCATCTAGAGTATTAAGTTCATAAAGAACAGAGTAACACATTAAGAAAGATGACATGATGTAGAGGGATAAAGTCATGCAATATGATATAAAACCCATCTTTTTATCCTCGATGGCAACAATACATACGTGCCTTGCTGCCTCTGCTGTCACTGGGAAAGGAAACTGCAAGATTGAACCCAAAGCTAAGCACTTCTTCCATTGCAAGAAAGATCAATCTAGTAGGCCAAACCAAACTGATAATTCGAAGAGACTTGCAAAGATAACTTAATCACACATAAAAAATTCAGAAGAGATTCAAATATTTCTCATAGATAAACTTGATCATAAACCCACAATTCATCGGATCTCGACAAACACACCGCAAAAAGAGTTACATCGAATAGATCTCCAAGAAGATCAAGGAGAACTTTGTATTGAGATTCAAAGAGAGAGAAGAAGCCATCTAGCTAATAACTATGGACCCGAAGGTCTGTGGTAAACTACTCACAACTCATCGGAGAGGCCTTGGAGATGATGTAGAGGCCCTTCGTGAATGATTCCCCCTCCAATGGAGCGCCGGCGAAGGCTCCAAGATGGGATCTTGCGGATACAGAAGGTTACGGCGGTGGAAATAGTTTTTCGTGGTCGCTTCTGATGTTTTCGGAGTACGTGGGTATATATAGGAGGAAGAAGTAGGTTAGTGGACGCTCGAGGGGCCCACGAGGGTGGGGGCACACCGGGCACCCTCGTGGCCGCCTCCCTTGTTTCTTGACTTCCACTCCAAGTCCTCTGGATCACGTTTGTTCCAAAAAGATCGCTCTCGAAGGTTTCATTCCGTTTGGACTCCGTTTGATATTCCTTTTCTTCGAAACACTGAAATAGGCAAAAAAAACAGCAATACGGGCTGGGCCTCCGGTTAGTAGGTTAGTCCCAAAAATGATATAAAAGTGTAAAGTAAAGCCCATAAACATCCAAAACGGGTAATATAATAGCATGGAACAAGCAAAAATTATAGATACGTTGGAGACGTATCAAGCATCCCCAAGCTTAATTCCTGCTCGTCCTCGAGTAGGTAAATGATAAAAACAGATTTTTCGATGTGGAATGCTACCTAGCATAATTCTCAATGTAATTTTCTTTATTGTGGCATGAATGTTCAGATCCAAATGATTCAAAATAAAAGTTCATATTGACATAAAAAATAGTAATACTTCAAACATACTAATCAAAGTAATCATGTCTTCTCAAAATAACATGGCTAAAGAAAGTTCATCCCGACAAAATCATATAGTTAGGCTATGCTTCATTTTTGTCACACAGAAATGCTCCCATCTTGCACCCCCTCGATGACAAGCCAAGCAA